GCACGCTTTTCCGTGACCTAAGTTGCCTATTTCTGCACGGTGTGTAAATGAATTGACCAACTTCACTCATGTAGAAAAAATAAAAGGAAACACATTTAAATGTCATTTGGAGCTTAAAAACTCACAGCAAACAAATTAGCGATAGGTTAGGGATTTTCAGTGACAGCCAAAACAAGGAGAAACGGTTAGCTATAATTCATTCCGCGAGAATTGTATCTTTGTTTAATATACAGTGCAACCTTGATATAACAAATTGGAAGGGATCAAGTAAATATTCGTTATATCGAGTAATTCTTTAAACTGAGGTTTGATATATTGAGGTTAGGTTGACCTAAAATTTGTTATAAAGAGATAAAAAAAATGTTTATTGAGGTTAGGTTGGTCTAAAATTTGTTATAAAGAGGTAAAAAAATTGTTTCTTGTCTGTAATATGAATCACGTACTATGGGATTAAGGGCCATATATTGATGGATACGTTATATAGAGGTTTTTGGTTGACAAAATTCGTTAATTAGAGATATTTACTCTTATTTTTGATAGTTGAAAATTTGTTATAAAGAGGTTATTCGCATAAAATGTTCGCAATGCAAAGGTGTATTTTACATTGACTTTTATGGTAAATTCAAGGGGATTACGAAGAATTTGTTAAATCAAGGAAGTCGTTATATTGAGGTACGTTATATTAAGGTTGCACTGTATTGTTATGCCAATCAAGGAATAAACGTTCATGGATACATTGAAATTCTATTTTGTTGTAATGATATTTGATTTTTTCCTTTTGAAATATGCTTTCAAAATGGTAATCTGAACCGGAATTCTTTCTTTTCAGAGTTTGACTTGCAGTCTGTATTGCAAATTCTTTGTGATTGCAATACATGAATTTTACTTTCAAAACACTAATCGCATCCCAACCCCCCCCCCTCTTGCCCGCGTCCGGGGCGGGTTTATGTCACACTTGCTATAAAATAGTATACGATACTTGTGGCCTAAGTTGTCTATTACTGCACGGCGTTTAGAACCCTCGCTCCGCTGAGTCGGTAGTCATTTGGGACCGGAACCACTGGTCCTGACGGGGACATGGAATTAAAAAATTATTTTGAGGCGGCGTTCGGGACCGAAGCTAGTGGTCCCGAATGACACCTATGTTTAATGATTATTTTGAGTGGTAAGTTGGGACCATAAATATGATCTAAGTTCCTATCTTAATTTTTTATGAGGAAGTACAGTCAAATAAAAAACGGCTCTTATAATATAAAATTATTCTTTTATTTGAAAAAATCACAGCCTTTAATTGAAAGTAAACCTAACTAGCTAAATATTTGTGTTTATTTCTCCTAAATCTACATGATTGCATTCAAAATCATATGCTAACAAAAAATTGTACTTATACATTTTACATGAAGATTAACAACATTTAAATAACAAAATAGTAGCTCTCATTCCAACAAATTAAAACAATGTCACCCTATTACGTTTTAGTTACAAATAAAAATTACTTACAGACTTTTCAATTAAAACATCAGTGTTACTCGATGGTATTTTTTAAATCAATATCACAACCGGTTTTTTACTTACTATTATTAAATCTTTTATTTCACATAAAAAACAACTAAAATAATAATCAACATAATATTCAACCCCCCTTTAACTATTTTGTTAAAGTATTCAGAATCATTATATAATTTAAAAAAAAATAACATTTATATTGATACCATTTTTTTTGTAAATATTGTTGCTAATAATAAGTAATAATCCGTATCAGTTTCATGAGGAATTGATGGACATTACTTACTGTATTTAAAATCTTAACTTCTCTAAACAATGACCGACAGTTATTTGGCCATTTATTAATTCCTGCAATGTCAGGTTGATCTTTTCTTTGGTTGCTACACTCTCTGCAGATCTTCTGGAAATATTATTCGTCTTTTTGAGTTTATTGCAGTAAAAGCTACTGTCCTTCCTAATGCCCTCCAAAAATTTAACTATATTAGGTTTTGATTTCATATATCTTTTTACGTGGTTGTGCCATACTACTATATTGTTTGTTTTATGGCCTTCATTAAAGGTGCACCATATTGGAAAATAAATGTCATTTTCTAACCAGATGCTGACAAAATAATCATCAAAAGCTGCCTTTGCCCTTCGGACATTCTTCCATTTTGTAAAACCACTCTTCAGTGAACAAATGTAACGGGAGGTGAACAGTACTGAACATAACTTTACGTGTATTTTGCCCAACTGTTTTGCTTTTCTCCATAAACATCTAGTAAAATGGAAAATGCTCCGGATTGCCAATATGGCAGGCACTTCAAAATCCATGCTTAGTTTTAAAGGGTTCCACTGAGGTATACGACTTCTTATTAAAGAAAAAAGAATGGCGTATGTTTTACGGGTTTTATCAGGTAAAAGCACATACAATATCTGCTCTGATGTATTTTTTGGAGGGTGACAGTGATTGGTTGAATTAACAATTGTTCCATGCATTATTTTAATTGTAGCATTGCAGAAAACCTTCTTTTGACCCACTTGACATTACCATCGCCATAACATTGATGACATTGATGAGATGTCATAATCATCACTTAACCAATCTGGATTGATTTGCTAAATAGTAACTGGGCCCTTTTTTGTTTAAAGTATATGTAAAAAGCTAAGCTACTTTATATAAAAAGGTATGGTTCTCGTTTTTACAGTTTCACAATTTAATACAATTATTTATTTCAATATACTTTTAAATAAAAACAATAGGGATGCGTAAGAGAGATAGCATGTGCACAACATTTTAGTGTGTGCATTTCCTACCGATAACATAAACACCGTGTTATTTTTTGTTTGTTTTAAATTAAACTACCTATTTTGAATAAGTTTATTTAAATAAAGAACTTAGTTCGGTTCGTTATACATTTATTACTCTAGAGTGGCTGGATTGATTATCATGATGTTTGATTTATATTTGTCATCACCCCGAATACTAATATATTAACGAGCTTTTGTCGTTAACTGTACTTTTTAATCAAACACTTCTTTCTTTATTTTTGGTCCCAACTTACCACTCAAAATAATCATTAAACATAGGTGTCATTCGGGACCACTAGCTTGGGTCCCGAATGCCGCCTCAAAATAATTTATTAATTCCATGTCCAGTGGTCCCGGTCCCAAATGACTACCGACTCGCTCCGCTCGGGCGCTAACTTCACGCCGTGCAGTAATAGGCAACTTAGGTCACGCGTATCGTAATGTACTATTATATTATAACTAACTGTCCCAGCGAACTTCGTACCGCCATAAAAAATAGGGGTTGGAGGTAGAAGGGTGAAAATTTAGGGTTGTATCTATTTTTGTATGATGTATCATAACAAAAAACAAAAATTATGTCAAAAAAAAATTAAAAGTGGACCCTTAACATTAAGGGGAATGAAAAATAGATGTTGTCCAACTCACACACCTACTGAGTATGCATATAAAATTTCATGAAAATCGGTCGAGCCGTTTCGAAGTAGTTCAATTATGCACACCGTGACACGAGAATTTTATGTATTAGAAGATAATAATTGAAAAGAAACGGGGATAAAATAAATTCTAGTTTTTTGCCAAACGATTTTAAATTAAGTGCCCTACGCGTCACAATGAATTGGATTCTGCCGAAGACTGACTACCACCCTCCATACAAATTTGAACCGTCTCCTGTAATATGCCTAATACAAATAACATAATTACCTTTTGCAGTCAGTTTAATTTGTGGAAGATTGAAAACAATACTCATGAAATAGAAAATTTCAGGTAGTTTTAAAAAGATTTAGTTTATTATTTTTACAATAGATATCATGTTTATTAAGTTCATATCATTAACGACGACCTCCATGGCCGATATATCCCGGTGGGGGCAGATGTTTGTGTGATGAATATGAGCATTTGTTCTCCAGTCATGAATGTTTTATATATATTTCTATATAAATATGCTAATAGATGTACAGTATATGTATTTTATCCGTTACCCTAGTATCCCATAACACAAGCCTTACAGTGCTTACTTTGGGGCTAGGCTAATTGGTGTGAGTGTTGGAAATATTTATTTATTTATTATTAAGTAAAAGCAGAAATAACGTACATTCATATATTTATGAATGAAGAGTAAAGTCATTACGGCCGGAAACGAAAGCCATTTACTCATTCAAGGGTAGGGTTTATTTTACGAATTAATAAAGTAAAACACATCAAGCAATGTAATATTATTCATTTCACAAATATTTGCTATAATCAATATAAATAAATTTACGACTTACATTCCAAAGAGAATACTTTGTCACAGAAGAGCAAGATATAAGTACTCTATAAAGTTATTTAATACTAGCAAGTTTAATTGATGACCTTATACATACAATCAGTTACACACCTACATAATATACACAATTATGCTTCATGATTTTTTATCATGCATTTTTACGTTTCATTCCAACGTTTCAGTTAACAGTTTAGTAGATTTAATTAAATAGTTTATTAGATAAATAGAAACTAACATTCATAAAGTAAAATAATATATTTATAAAGTAGTTTATAAGTTCCTTATTTTTTTTCTAACTAACTTGACAAATATTTCAATTTACTTAGTTATCATTAAACGAGTAAAGTCTTACTTCATCTTAAACGTAAGTAATAAAAGTATAATACAATAATTTTGTCCTACATTCTTAACAGATTACACTGCAAATCCTTGAATGAGAAAGTACCTAAGTGTACTGATCGTAAATTGGAATTTTGCTGAACAATCATAGTAAAATTACACAATGTTGAGATCGTTTAATATGATTCATCATTAGAGATTACATTTAAGTTAACAAAGATTCGAAAAGTTATGGTTTCATTAGGATTTTTGTGAATGCGTATAGATAAAAATGCATTTTATTTCTAAAAAAAGAATTTTAAATATTTAAAAACACAAACAAATAGTAAACTCCAGTGGCATATGATAAACAAAATTAATTCAATAACATTAAATAATCATGATTTCTTGTGAAACTAAAGTTCCTGTTAAAAGTACATACATACATACACATAACAACATCAGTATTTCACAGTAAATAACATCACGCAATATCATCATCATTTTATAGATAGCAAGACGATGTAAACTGATAATTGATCAGCTTGTTTCTTGCATCGTAGCTTCGGGCATGCGGAGGTCTGAGGTTGGTAATTCTATAATCCCTTGCCGGTAAAAGGTAAGCATCGTTTTGCATTTCGAATAGAGTGTTACGGAGAATCTCGAACAGGGTGTTACAGGAAATCACGCGGTGGGTGTTACGGGAAATCGGGCGGTGAGTGTTACGGCAAGTCGCGCGGTGGGTAGTAACGGAGTGGTGTTTACCGACCGAGGCCGGTCCACAGCAGGCCCGGGTCGTGATTGTTGGCCCCTGGGTAGATCCCGTCCGCCTCCACGAACGATCTGCGGTTGTAAGATCTACGTACAACAATATTTTAGACTGTATTTTTATTGTTCACAAATGAATTATGGCCGTCTTAAAAGTAGGGTAAAAGTCATATAAAACCTAACGTTATAAAAACAATTCTACCATTAAAATTAAGATAAAAAACCTACTTATTCTTTACTCATACATCTTATATATCTAAGTAAAATTTCTAATACTGAATTTTAATAGTTTTGTTTTTATAAAATTTGTTTAAATAAAGTTGTAATATGTCAGTTTTCAAAACTAATAGCAATATGAGTTGAGCTAGGAATACTGATATGATTAATGAGGAATTTGAAATGAAATAGTTTTTGTAGGTTGAGTGATGAAAAAATTATGAGTAGGATGAGACGTCATTGGACGAATACAACCATTGCTGCTAAGTTTAGGTACTTAGCCAACATTCTTGCATATTACATTTCATAAATATTAAAATTAATCCCTTTTTTCCTTGGTCACACCAACTTACAAAGTTACAAATATCCATCTTTTTTAAAGTTTTAATACTTTGTAGAAGTTTTTACGGAAAAAAGAATGTAGCACCAAACTTAAGTAAACGGGGACGAAGTCGCCGGCGAAAGAATTTCATAAAACAAACATTACTAATGTGTTCACTGTTTTAGTTGAAGAGTTCTATTGCTCATTTCTAAAACTACAAATCTGATCTTAACCAAATTTATAGGGGACCATCTTGAAGTAAAAGTAATTCAAACAAGAAACAATATCAAAATATTATCCATTAACCTCGAAGCGATTACACTAACAGCAATCAAGAAACGATACTTAGCGAACAAAAGAACAATAATAATAATAATTCAAGATTGGTGGTAATGTTGCGTAACAGACATATATTAGTCGTTTAAAAAGTATTTTTTTTATTTATTAGTGACATTAATTTTTTGCTCTGTTTTTGAACTGCTGTTAGTGGATTGTCCTATTATTGAAAATAGTATTAAGCTGCTGCTGGATTTTAAATCTAAAGAAAATTTTACTCAACAAAATTTCACTCGATCCGCCTAGCCTGGATAGCGGAAGGTGCAGGTTCGAATCCGGACCGAGTGAAATGTATTTAGTAAATATTTCTTTAGTGTTATTACTTATATAAAAATATAAGTAACTATAATTTAACTTATAAATATACCTAGTATGAATGTGAGATTGGCACATCTTTTAACGACGTCACATTTTCAATGTTGTAACAATATGTTCTAATTAAAGTTTAATTCGTATTATAAACCGGCACCTAAGTAAAGATTTTCTGAATATTCACTGTGTCACTTACAGTACCTCTACCTTAAATTCATTTTCTAACAATTTGAAAAAACTTGTCTGGTTCTTAATGGAAAGCTTATAACGACATATACTTTTAATGCAATTTAGAAAGTGACTCTACGTTGAACTTGTGACCGTTTTTAGTGAATGAAACCACTGCTGGGGCACAGGCCTTCCCTATGGATGGAAGAGGGAGATTGGGCCATGAATCACCACGCGGGCCCAGTGCGGATTGGCGGGTGCTAACGACTGCAGATACAACCGGGACCATCGGCTTAACGTGCCTTCCGAAGCACGGAGGAACTCGAGATAGTAGATTTTGGTCACCCATCCAATGAGCGACCACTGCGAAAGTTGCTTAACTTCAACGATCGCAGCCGAACGCTCTAACCACCCGCGCCATCGAGCGCCTCGAATTAACCTTTAGCTACAAATAAAAAAAACATTTAAATCCGACCCGCCGGGCTTTTGTTAGGGAGCAATACCTATATGTAGGTACTAATTCGAAATTGAAAAATGTTAAGTATTCAATATAAGAGCTCCATCCGATTTCCAAATCTTCTGGTAGTTTCTAGAGGATAGAAAAAAAATCTTTCTTACAAACCTAGTCCTGACAGTAACGAAACACAACCAGGAAGGAATTACCCAATTTTGTGCATTTTTTCGGAAGTCATGTGCGTACATATATTTTTTTGAAAGTCTCGTTTATCGAACTCCTCCGAAACAGCTAAAAACCATAATTATTAAAATTACAAAACAAAGTTTCACGCCGCATCTGTCTGCCGGTATGTTCTCGAGTATCTACCGAACAGATTTTCATGAGTGATTTATCATCAGTTAGATAGTTTTCACATGACTGAGATCAGAAGTGAAACGAGGGGTAGTTTATCAATACTAAGTAAATATATAAAAAAACAAGAGTAGTAGACGACAAAACGCAATTCAGAAAGAGGCTATTATTCCGTAAGCAAAAAAAGTAAATTAAGTGTTTTTCTTTTGGGCATAAACTGTAAAGGCAGATAATTTGTTTAGTTAAACATTAGCACAACATAGGGTGCGTATGATATGACGTGCCCTTAACATCATGTTGTTTAGTTAAAAACACAGTTGATATAATACATCTTGCGTATACATGTAATGGTAGCCCATACACACTACTAGACTATCACACTATCAGACTGTACAGTTCAAACGGTACCGATAAATCGTAGCGTGTATGTTATAAAACTGCACAGTTGCCTATACGTACGCCACGTACGATAAACTGTTCCGTTCGAACTGTACAGTCTGATCGTAATGATTTCTCGTAGTGTGTATGGCTACCATTAGTCGGCTGTAATAACCTATTCAGTTGACATTTCAGTAGTCACGTATAGTAGATCTCGCTAATGTAGGGTAAACAACGAACAAAGTTACGACAAATCGATTGTGTAATATCAAGCATGATAAAACTCAAAGTCTGTTGGATAGATCTCAGGGATGGATGAGTGATGTGCGGAAGAAAATCCACTTGTAACACAAGGGAGATTTACAGGAATATTAGGTACTCAAATAGTATGTTTAATACGTAGTTCAAATTCTTTATGTGTCCTATAGATACAGACTATAAAGTTGAGAGTTCAGCGAACAGAATTAAAAGAATTATTAATGAAGCTTAAGAACTTGATAATAAATTAAAATATTTCATTTTTTAACTATAACTTCTGAAAACGAAAGTTTGCATGAACGTGAAATATAAAAGCTAAAAGATTGATTAGAAGTAATTAAATTTTGAACAAATATAACCGATTAGTTTGAAATAAGATAATCGATAAAAAATCTCTGTAAACACATCTGGATCTTAGAGATGCCTATATTATTATGGAGGTCGTTTTTTTGTAAAAGTGTTAAATAAATAGAATTATTTAATTACTAGATCAATTTTAATTTCATTAACTTCTCTAGTCCAGATTATTTCAATATGATCTACGGGATTCAATTCCCACCAGAACAGAGTAGTAAACAAACTTTTCGGTCACAGGCGGTATATTGTGAATTAGAGGTATCTCTCACCTGATATTGCCAGTAGGTCTGAGAGGGCGAAGTGCGTGAAGTTTTCTTATGCCGCTGCCGCCACCACCGCCACCTGCACAAGATTTTTCACAATTTTTATAGATAAGTCCGACAAACGTACCTGCAGTGCTATTCTGTAAAATTCTCACGCGCGGATCCATCCGCATCCGATCCACTCTGCTGATGTTAACAGACATGGACAGTAATTCATATTCATATTGAAATTTTATTTTCTTACGAAATAGTTTTCGTATTTGTCTAATTGTTGCCCTTTGCAACCTGGCACTTAGATCAACGGATCCAATCGGTTTTCTGGGTCGGCGTTGGTAAGCAGACAGCGTAGGAGGTATCCCTTAGCTTGCGATACCACGAGTATCGCTTCACTTGACTACATAGATTGGATCCCGTTCCTAGAGGTTCGATCAATACCTTCTTTTCTGCAGTAACCACTAGAATTATATCTGCAGTTTTGTCTAAGCCTTGAGTAAAAGTTCGGCATTAAAGGACACTGTTCAGCGTCCATACATAGTTAGTCTAAGAACCAACAATCATGAAATATTATTTTCTAGGTGCAAAATCGTAAGTAAATGACTGTAAAAACAAAAATTATTGACGAACACTTCTGAGAACTTAAATTATTAGGAAAACTAAAATTTTTTTGAGGTTATGTTTACTATTCAATGAAACATAGGTCAACCTATGAATTTAGTATAAACTCAGTATGAAGTGAATTAATATTACAACTAATTCATTTTATGCGGTGCGATTTTAAAGAATAAGTATTAGGAAGAACTTGGTTATGTAGGAATCATGAACAAAGTAAAAACTGTAGTTTTGCTTCTTATTTATTGACTATTTTTCACATAATTGTATCATATTGTTTATTGTATTTATTTGTATATCACATGAAGGTATATTGTGTAAATATGCACCGTGAATGTGTATCAGGTGTTCTTGAATAATTTGGCAGTATGATCCTCTCAGGATGTTGTGGCACAGGTTCACTAGCACTTGGTAATAAGGGCTCTGCTCTTTGGTAACATCGATGGCATATTAGATAGCCGAAATAGTTAAAATAAAGGAAAAACAATCGCAAATAAACACACACAACAGGTAATCCGAAACGAGAATGCACTTTCCGTTCCGGTTTAATTAAACTAATCTTTGGAATGCACGAATGCCACAGATTACTACGAATGCAAACCTTTGGTATACTTACTTTACTCTTTGATGCAAACTGTATGCACCACAACCACAGAGTAACGAATTTTATGCCGGCCCTTCACTTGACAACAGTTTGTCCTTGTCATGCTTAATAAGGAATGAAAAGGACAGACTGATGTCATGTTTTATAATAGCAAATACGAATAGCCAAGTGAAGTGCCGGCATTAGGAAGAAAGAGTGTTTTGTTTGCAGCGCTGCCATAGATTATACACATAAAATGGTATTTATTGTCTCCTTGTCTCAGATTATTTTTTTAACTTTTTAATTTAGCTTACTTAACTGGAAGTGTCCGTCACAATCTAAATACTGATAATTATCGCAAAAAATATACTAAGAATTATCATAAATGCCAAATTGGTGTTGGTTCTTAGGCCAATTTTAACATTGTCCTTTCAATCTAAAATTCGAAGATGATATGTGTAATAACACGTACCGATGTTTGTTGGTGTTGTGTTTCTGTCGAAAGGTAAGCTTTAAAGGCTCTACGAAACGGCGTTGTAAGCGTCCATAGGCTATGGTGACCTATTATCATGAGACGATTTATACATATAAAACGTCTCATAAAAAAGGTAAGAAATAAATATTCGTTTCTCCTTTTTTGCATAAAAATATCTCCTATATTTGAATCGGTCATTTCAAAAACCTGTTAAGTCACACTATTAGAGTTTTTCAGGAATTAATAAAAACTGGACTTTTTACGCTTAATTCAGTATTTGAGCTATAAAAAATTCAAATATTCAAGAAGGTTTACTGTTCATAAAAAAAAAATGAAATAATCATGAAAATCTGTTAAGCAGTTAAGTTTAGCAAGTAATAGGTGACTTATGTGGTTATAGCAAGAAATACATTTAGTGGTATATATGTTATGGGCCAAGTGATTAATGCGGGCAGTATTCATAATGCCAGCGCAGTATGAATAATGCCCAGCCATATCGGGCCAAGTGATTAATTATAATCTAAACTCACCTATTTATTACATTGGCCGGTCATTATTAATAATGCCGGACGGCTCGAAGTCCATGTAATAAGTCAGTGTTTGAGATAGCTTGAATTTATCGCTTGGACCGGGCAGTGTGAATAAATTCAAAAAGTTGGTATTATTGTAAAAATGACAGATGTCTCGCAATTTTGTGTTTGTTTTGAGATCTTGGTAAATAAAAAATAGTATGGGCTCAACACTTAGAAAAAAAGGTAAATGTGGCTTTACAACAGTCTTTAATTCAGAACCGACTTGGTCAACCCCGACACGCCGTGGTCTTGGTCTGCCCTACCCCTAGAGTGTTTTTTAGAGCCCGGAGGCGCGGAGGGAGAGCAGCCTCCGCCTGCTGTGACAAAGCCGCAAGAATCATGCTACCCGTAGTATCATTCCCCTTCACACGGGGACTTGTGACTTTATCACGCAAAGGCGGAGGGGCTGCTATTCCCGCAGCGCCGGAGTTAAGGCAGAAGTACTAGTTCTTACTTCCCTAGTCCTTGCATCCTAAAAATAGGGAACCATAAATTCTGAAGATTTAAAAGATTTAATGAATTTTTCAAACAAACTGCATTGAAACTACTATAGACTATAGTTTCTAAATGTAGCCCTTCGTAAATTGAACGAAGTAAAACCGAAGTCTGATTATTTAATTTAAATCTTATAAATAAATACTCAACTATAAAACATGATTTTATTATTAATCTACCCGATAATTGATTTCATTACTTGTAATGCTCGGTCTATCTAACTAAGTATTAATTTGAAAGTATTAAACATGCTTAACATCACTCTGCCCAATAGGCACTTGGCATTATAAATTGATTGGTTATAATCACATTGCCCGCTCTTATTGGGTTTATTCATATTGCCCGGGCATTATAAATAATGCCCAATAAGAGCGGGCTTATTTTAATTCTCGGGTAGTGTAATAATAAAAACATGTTTTATAGTTTAGTATTTATTTATAAGATTTAAATTAAATAATCAGACTTCGGTTTTACTTCGATCAATTAATCACTTAGCCCATAACATATATACTGTAATAATGTAACTAAAACATCAATCGTATTAATTATATTTTTTAATGCAGATTATTGACGATTGCACATGAAAATCACCTAATTTACTTATACTTAAATCAATCCTTCAATATATTCCTCGGTTATGTTATGATAGTGTTTTTTTTATCTGAATCATACTGAAAACTTATGTATGTCGAACGAGCGAATGTTTTTTTGTTCTTTTGGGACTTCTTTCTGTGAGATCCAGTTTGTTTTTAAATTTGGCCATCATTTATTTCAAAATATCTTTAGTTTCTAGCTACTCTACTTTAGATTTTTAAATGGAGTTAGAAACCAAATCAATGCTCTTGGGACGTAGATATAATAATATTAGCATTAGAAAAAATTTCAACTCCAAAATAATATGCATTTGGTAACAAATATGACCATGTATGAGAAAATACTGTTTATAAGTATTTTCTTTTTTTGAATACGTTAAAATTTAATCAGATATTACTACACCCGCCATCTAAGTAGCGCAGTAGTATTTACAAAAGCCTCTTAAGTCACTGACTTATGTTGTTTAAGCAAAAAACCTCTTTTACGTGGTATTATTTGAACTGGGACGAATGTATTGACTTACGTGATTTTTAACTAAAATACGCATATACCTTTAGAGATCGTTCTCAGCAAAAAAAAATGTTTAGAAAAAACTTGACTTAAAAGGTTTTTGAAATGACCGATTCATTTGTAATCAAGTTATGCACTACACAATACCTTGAGTGCAAATATAAATATGAGTTCAGCTAGCTTAGACATTGAACATGTTACAAGAATCTACATAGCTCGGATCGGCGACTCGGCGTTAGTTACTGGATATGTTTGTGTCCCAGTATGACCAGAATAAATATTACGGAAAAACCGAAGCATCTCAAAAATCATTTTTTTAAAAAGAACTTTATACAATATATCGAAAAAGTATTTAAATACTAAATCTGGTCACACTATTGTGCCATGATCGATACAATCATGGTTGTATTTTTCCAATACCGAATATTGCTGCAAATAGTAAAGCCAATGCATAAGGTGGAAAATATTTTCCCGGATGGGGCTAAAATTAGGATGTCAAGTCAAGAACTCGAAATCTCGCGTTTTTGATGCTTGAATTGATCTTAATAGAATTGCTTCTAATGTAACACAAGCGTTTGAATTTCTGTGTTAATGACTTTAAATAACATTAATATGAAATGAAATTTTAATTATGCTTTCCTCTCGTCATGTCAATTATTTCAAATACCACTTCCACTTCGTGTATCTCCATTCCACTTTGTGCTCCGTTGTTTTGCCCATTTCAAGGTTTTACTTTAAATTGTAATGAAAATTATTGTGCGATAGGGCGATGTTAATTTAGCTTGTTTTAATTGTAGAGTATGCTTGTTATTTGCTGTAAATTTCTATTGTTATTTCTTGTTAATAAATGAAAACCTAAATTCTGTACATATTCGTCCCTAAATTCTGTACATTTTCCAAAGCGGCAAATACCTACAAGGAATTGTTTCGATATCAGCAAGAGATTCCGGTGTTTGCAGAGGAACATTCATTTGAATGTTGCTAAATACCATTGCTGGGGCACAAAAATAAAGATTGAGCCATGTTTTGGAACAGGCAGGTGAGACAGGATACAAAAAATCTTTTAAGAAAATGACGATAGAAAGATACACATGGAATGATTGAATTGTATTTTTCTTTATAAACATTACCCAGTTTTCCATTTTTTTCATTACTACACAGTATACTTACAGTGCTAAAACAAATCGTACACTGTTTAAAAAGAAATTGTAACGCCTAAAAACTATGCGCATAACTTAAAT